GCTGCTGCTGCTGCTGCTGCTGCTGCTATTCTTACTGCTGCTGCTGCCGCTACTGCAACTGCTGCTGCTGCTCCTACAACTGCTGCTGCTGCTAGTTGCACTATGCCTGCTGCACTTGCTGCGGCCCCTACTGCCGCCGCCACTGCTGCTGCTGCTGCATTTGCTGCTGCTGCTGCTGCTGCTGCTGCTCACCAGACATCAGAAGGTGGGCAAAGAACTTCGCGGTATTTCGCAGCTTCGCCGTTTCGAGTCGATGGGCCTAAAATTAAAATAAAGAAAATAGTTTTAAATAATTAATTTAAAATAATTAAATAATAAATAAAAATAACTAAAATAATTAAAAATAATTAAAATAATTAAAAATAATTAAGATAAATCAAAATGAATTAAGACGAATTAAAAAGAAATAAGAAGTTAAAACTAAACAAAAAATTTTAAGTAATTATAATGTTAAAAAAATTAAAAAGAATTAAAAAGGGTTAAAAATAAATTAAAAAGAATTAAAAATAAATAAAAGGAATAAAAACGAATAAAAAAGAATTAACGGAATTTAAAAATGGCTACCTTGCCAAGTGACTAGCTGTTGTGCTGGCTAGCTGCTATGCTGGCTAGCTGCAAGTTGTTAATTTATCCATCTAGCTAGCTAGCTAGCTAGCTAGCTAGCTAGCTAGCCAGACTAGCTGGCCAGCGGCTATCTAGCTAGCTGGCTAGCTAGGCCCCTACGTATCTATCTGGCTAACTGTCTATTTGTCTGTCTAGCTAGCTAGCCAGCTAGCCGGTTGCTAGCTAGCTAGCCAGTAGCTAGCTAGCCAGTAGCTAGCTAGCCAGTAGCTAGCTAGCCAGTAGCTAGCTACCCAGTATCTAGCTAGCCAGTAGCTAGCTAGCTAGCTGCCCAGCTAGCTAGCTATATGTCTAGCTAGCTAGCTAGCCAGTAGCTAGCTAGCTGTCCAGCTATCTGTCTAGCTAGCTAGCTAGCTAGCTAGCCAGCTTGCCATCAGTCTAGCTAGCTAGCTACCTAGCTAGCTAGCTAGCTAGCTACGTGTGTAGCTAGCTAGCTAGCTAGTTAGCTGGCTAGCTATGTGTGTAGCTAGCTAGCTAGCCGGCTAGCTAGCTAGCTACGTGTGTAGCTAGCTAGCTAGCTAGCTAGCTAGCTAGCTAGCTATTTGTGCGTACGAGGGCGTATTGCCGCTTGAAGGCCTCCTGGAAACATTCGCAGTAAGCAGTTTTGAGTTTGGCGAGCCTTTCGGCCTGCAGCGCGAAGAAGCGCTGAAAAGTTCTTTCCATGGAGCAGCAGTCGATCAGCATCACCGCAACTTCCATCTCCAGGTCCTCCTGCAGCAGCAGCAGCAGCAGCAGCAGCAGCAGCAGCAAAGGCGGCGGAGGCTCCAGAAAACCCGCAAAATGAGGCTTGCACGGCGAAAAAATACGCCAAAATCACGCAGAACGCACCAGCAGCAGCAGCAGCAGGCCCAGCAGCAGTAGTAGCAGCAGACCTAGCAGCAGCAGCAGCAGCAAATCTAGCAGCAGCAGCAGCAGCAGACCTGGAAGCAGCGGCACCCGCACGCCTAGCAGCAGCAGCAGCAGCAGCAGCGAACCTAGCAGGAGCAGCACCAGCACACCTAGCAGCAGCAGCACCAGCACACCCAGTAGCAGCAGCACCAGCTGCGACGTTCGCTGCTGCTGCTGCTGCGAACCTTGCAGCAGCAGCACCAGCACACCTAGCAGCAGCAGCAGCAGCAGCGGCTAACTTGGATGTTCATTTTGAGGATCTTGTGGACGCATTCTTCAGCGTTGAGGGAAGACATAATGCAAAGATAAATTGTCTTTCGAAGACAAACAACTTCTTGGTCCGTCAAGTCCTTCACCACTGTTTGCTTCTTGCCTGGTTCCTAATAATAAAGAAATAAATAAATAATAAATAAATAAATAAATAATAAATAAATAATAAACAATGATTAACTAGAGGGAATAGTTGCCGTTAATTCGTTTGGACGGGACTGCTCGCTAGTTGCGAGGTTGCTGGTGCTTTGCTGCTGCTGCGCAGCAGCAGCAGCAGCAGCAACGCCAGCAGCAGCAGCAGCAGCAACGCCAGCAGCAGCAGCAGCAGATCCCGATTTGGCCGCCGCAGTTCAATTCATTGATTATATCATTTATTTATTTATTTATTTATTTATTTAAATTAATCAATTTATTTATTTGTTTATTTACTGCAGTTTCTTCTGCTTCCTCTTCGCTGGAAGACTCCGCCTCCGAGTCCTCAGAAGAAGCATCAGCATCTGAAAAGAGAAACAAATTTGAATGAATTTAAATGAATTTAAGTGAGTTTAAATGAATAAATGATTTAAAGCAAACAATACATCCAAAATAAATATTTATAAATCATAAATTAAAAAATTAATTCCGAAAAAACCAAAAAATTCAAAACACATACACCCGAATGCATGCACTCGAACGAACCAGTGGTCTTCAAATTAATTATTTTCACTTCTAATTATTTAATTACTTAGTTAATTAATTATATTTATTTATTTATTTATTTATTTTACGTATTCATTTTATTTATTTAATATAGGAATGCTTCGGTTCACTACGGGAAGAGCGATCTGCAGCAGACGACTACAAAGAAAACAAGAAACTCCAAAATTCGGGCTTAGGGTTTAGGGTTTGGGGTTTAGGGTTTAGGGTTTATCACCTGTGGATTCCTCTCCAAGGATTTCTCTAGAAAGCGCCGCCCACTTCTTCTCATCCGCCTCGTACTCCTAAACACAACCCCCAAACCCTAAACCCTAAACCCTAAACCCTAAACCCTAAACCATAATTTGTGAAC